GGGGATAAGAAATACGATCCTGTTAGGAGACGCCACCTTCAGACGTTTTGTGGGTTTGGCTTATTTGTTGATTCGGGGACGGGAAATCGGCTCAGGGCTGGGGTTTCTCACCTTCAATTGACGACCATCATGAGAGGGAAAGAGGAGCAAATCACTTGTCAACTGTGGTAGTTTGCGAACAATCGCTCAGATTTCACAGTGACTTTTTTGGGAAAATTTCCAGGCTCCAATGTGGTCAACTCGATATTCAGAAGGAAATTCAGGTAGATTAACTTTACATAAGTAATCTTGGTAGCGTAAAAGATGGGTCGAATGGTGAATTTGCGACCAGAGTCCTTACCAGTTATCCCAGCTGTTCCCCTTTAAACTAGACCTCCAAGCTGCAGAGTAGTCGTAGCTTTCTGTCCCTGCAGAGTCGGCCAGCTGGTACCAGAGCCGCCGGCACTCAGCTGCAATCCGTCTTGCTGGTGCTCATTTTTTTGCAAAGCAACTAAAAACTTCGGGGGATCGGCAACTGTTGTCACGAGGAAGCTGTGAGTAATGATAATTAGCTAACAATAACACTAGTTGCTTTCGAGAAATCGATTTGTGCGATAAAAGACGCCCCTGTTGAGGTGTTGGAGTGAAGACAATTCAGTTTTAGTCTGCAGGTAACTAAACTATTGGCGAACAAGAGACTTTCCTCAGAAAAACTAGTAAAATATGCAGTCAGAAGTGACTCCATGTGGACAAAAAAATAAATTGTTTTGGCATTAACCAGTCCCGTTCTGGGGTGCACCCCGTATTTAATTTCTATTCCCCGCGGCCTTCCAATGTGAATTTGGCTTAAACAATGAATAGCGGTGGTTGCGCGATGTACGAATCAGTGCTTGATCCTCCCAGGTGACTCTGATACCAGTTGGCCGACTCTGCAGAGACAGAAAGCTCTGTTGAGTTGAACGAGTACCGAACCGGGATTCGATCCGCCGACCATAAGAGTGTGGTAGTGCCCCTATTGCCACTATACCACATCTGCCGAAACGAAGTGTAAGGGATACGTAAATTCTGTTCTTTCCCATCTATCAACATTCACTCACCCAGTCATATTGTTATGGGAGCTTTTGCCTGTTTGGGGGTTTCCTCAAAACTTAACTACGCCCTGTTCATTTTATCTGATTGCAAATGATAGAATCAGAAAAAATTATGCACAAGTGAGGGTACGCAGAAGAAATCATCGTAGTGAGAGACCCAGACTACGTCCCTTCTTATATGAAATATCACGGAAGTGACCAGACACAACTTCCTTTGAGGCCTGTAAGTTAATATCGAATCTGTTTGTCTGCATGAAGATGACATTTGATTGTGGAAAGGAAAATGACATAAACATGCAAATAATGCCGTGCACTACTGGGTACCCATCGGTCGGCCGTCACAGCAATTTATCGGATATGCCAACTAGGCAGTCAAATGCACTACCATCCACCACAATGGAGGCTAAATGCGCGGCGCACCCTAACCCTGTTGTACGACATTTGGTCCGATTCTCTAATCGGTCATTCAAAGGGGAGAGTTGCTGATCAGTTTGGAGGGATCCGTAGACATGCCTAACTGCACCAACGACTCTTGCGCTTGTGCCAGCGTCGCATCAAGGAGAGACGCAATCATTTNCCGATTCTCTAATCGGTCATTCAAAGGGGAGAGTTGCTGATCAGTTTTGAGGGATCGGTAGACATGCCTAACTGCACCAACGACTCTTGCGCTTGTGCCAGCGTCGCATCAAGGAGAGACGCAATCATTTCGAAGTTCCACAACATGGATAATCAATCCACTGAAGTACGCTGCTACTGGTTTTGATGACGTTTTGGTCCATAACGGCTTCAAATTCTCCAAAGTGACCCTTTCTTTATCTCGAGCTTCTTCCCTCTCCATTTCAGGATTCTCCATAAACTAATTGGTTGGCCGTTGCTTCCCGAGACACGTAGGAATCCTGGGAATCCTGTATCTTCTGCCGTCCTGTTAACTATCGCAGGCCTCAGTGTTATCCCTATTCATCCTGTGGTTCGACATCGTAGTCAGTAAACTCTATTGAGTCAACATTTACATTTTGCCAAGGTTCAATGGAAGCCGAAATGATCTCTTCATATTGAAATTTCTCATTCAAGGACAAAACAAGTCAAGATGAGTACTGAACATCAGGGAGCTTCTATAACTGCGGATTTCCATGGGCAGGGCTGTCCAGCACCATAAACTTCAAACGACTTTTACCCGATTCATTTCAATTCACTTGCGATTCCCTATGTAGAGCTTTTCAACCATTTTGAAGGCTATTCAGGCATTGAATCACCAATCATAACAAAAAAAAGATTTAGTCACTGGTGGTTATCAGTCCGTTTCAAGATACGCCTCAAACTCGAACTCCATTCAGAATCGTAGTGGCTGCTGTATGTAGAATGAATGTATGTAGCCTACACGACGTCTTGCGGGGTGGCCAGCCGATGTACAAGTAAATTCGGAACCCTCATGAATTACTCTTTATCTCAATCGCAATCGCTTTCGTGAAGTAAGGCGGACAGCTGAAAATGGATTTTTGATAGGGTTCATCGTGGCGTTGGAACCGTTGGTTGGTGATAACGTCGTCGTTGCAAGTGTTGTTGCATTGATAGCAGAGATGTTTGAGCCAGCCATCGATTCTTCCGGTTTCCGATTTTGCTGAATAAATGCGTAAATAACAAAGATGTACTAAAAAACAATAAGTGTCCTTGAAATAAGGGTAAAGGATAGAAGGACAAAGACTTATGGCGTTAATCAATCCCGTTTGATAGATGCGCACTGTATTCGACTTCCATTCAAAATTGTAGTGGCGTAATAAATGCTTGTATGACCTATACGACGAATTGCGTGGCCAGCCAATTTACAATTAAGCGCTTATAACCTCCTACACGTGTCTCGTACCTATTCACTGACCCCAGACGGATGGAAGGCTCGGTTGGCATGGGCAGATATTGATTCGAGGTTCGATCCCGCGGCGTGCGTGATAATGCGCCATGTGCCACTACACCACCTTCGCCCATTGATATTACATATTCGTATAAAATAAGGATGGTCTGCTTTCTATAACAACTCTAAACTACTGAGGAGCAAAATGTTTAGAAGAAAAACCTTCTCCTTGTCTTCCTTTTCTTTCTCTTTCAGCAATTGTTCCAAGGCCTTTTCTTCCTCAGCGATTTTTGCAGCAAGCTTTTGATCGTCTGGCGTTGGCGTGAGGACCTTTGTCGATGTCGATCCTTCTATAATGGCTACATTGTGATGGATACACAAAAATCGAGCAATAAAAGACTCCCTGCTATTACTTCCTAGTTTACCACGCCAGCACGGTTAGAAGAAATGGGAAGTGAGCTGGCCAACGCCAGTTTATTGAACTTTGCGATGAGCCGTGTGCTCAATTCCTATTGGGAACGGTTGGGGCAACCAATCTAAGCCATAACAACTCGATATGGCCTACGCTCGGACCCTCCAGAGTCTGTAGGTTGATTGCCCTGTATTTTTGCCGCTTTCGCATACGTAGTACAGTACTGTTCAAGAGTTTTTGATAACATCCCTCTTTGTGAAGAATGGTTTGCGGAGAGTCAGCGAAAAAAAAAGGAGACGGATTCGAACTGACCTGATGAGGCGGTTTCGCCTTTCTCTTTACCACTCTCTTTGTCAGATTCCTCCTCGTCGTCCCATTCCGAAATCAGTTCGCAGTCGAACAAAAACTGAAATCGATTGGATCAACTGTGTAAAACGCATCATTGGACACATAAAAAGGAAAAGCACTTTGAAAGGCTTCCCCACGAAATTTTCAAGACTATTTTTGCAAATAATCAATTCCTTCTTCAAGTTAGTTCCAGTATTTGGACACGAGGACACTGTCCATAATGTCCTTTCTCCCCCTTACATGAAATAAAATAGTGAAGGAGGACCAATGCTGGGAGATGAGCGATTTTGTCCAGTCTATTCAATGAAGCCATAGATTTTCAGTTTTTCGGCGTTTTGGCGAAGGCAGGGCACCTACACGCCAAATCCTCTAGTGTCGCATGCTCCAACGATGTCGACGCTCTCTCAGTTTGGGAACGGGGTGCAGCGGGCCTTGGCTTTTCGTCCGATGACATCGTGCTCGATCTTCCGGGCTTGCATTATCAGATTTTCAATGCACGATTAATTCGATGCAAGGGTTCGTGCATTGGAAGTACAGATCGTCATGGCCCTCCTTTTGGGAAGCTTGTTAGGGCCTCTTCCAAGCTGTCCGTGTTGGGAGTTCCATCAGGCGCAGGGGAATAGAATTCATTTATATTACTGTTTATGACACATACAGTAGCGCTCAAAAGTCTTCGGTGAAATGGTTCCTCGGCCGTACTTTTTAGTCGTAACTCCTTTCCTACTGGATCTATCCATGCGAAATTTCTATATTTGGAGCGTGGATGCATGATGAATATTCACCACCATTAACCTGCAATCTGATCATGTTCCAGATATTCCAAAGAGCTTGAACTCAAAATCGACTGAAAATACAGATGATGATCCTTCTGGAATCTCTTTCCTTTTTGTCATGTCTAAAGTGTACGAGCGGTAACGNCGAACACAATAGATGGGAAAAATGCACATAAGGTGCGAATAACTGCAGACGTCAACAACTTTACTTTTAGCAAAACCTGCTACCTCAACAGACACCTTGCTCTATCTGTGGATATTGCAGCTTCGCAGTCAAATAGTGTTGGGTAGGGTGAAATATGCTCAACTTAAACATATCCAAATTTTTTGCGATTTGGTCTACTAAGAAAAAAGTTGTGAACGAAAAAGCTTCAAGGTATTTCACCAAAGACTTTTGAGCGCTACTGTAGGTACCCTCGAAACCTGTCGGAGGTGACTCCGGTTATCCAGCTGGGCTATGCCAGAATGAACAGGGGCTTATTTGCTAGTGGCAAACGTAGGATATCGACAGGATCTCCACACATGAATACATGAATACGCCTACATGAAGACGGAAGGTATAAATCGATTCAGCACGACAGATACGGAGAATCCACTCTCCGAATTCACCTATGCTAGAGGCAGTGACTGGTGGTCTGCGATTTTTCCCCTTTTGACCGCCTGAACGAACTAGTCATACACCCATGATCCGGTGATCGAATCCCGGATCATTACTCGCCCGCGCCAACCAAACTTTCATCCTGAATCGATGATTCTGAACGGAGGTCGAATGCAATGCGCATCCCTCGGACAGAATTGATGAACGCCCAAAAACTTTTTTCTATTTTGTAACCCTTTTCAAAACGGTAATCAGAAATAAGGACCTACATACTACCCCATCATTCGCTTAACGTTCCCGTACTTCCGGTGACGTTTTCGTAACCAGAGGATAATCGCTAAGAGATTCAACAATGAAGATAAAGGGAAGTCTCACCACATCGGTGTTTGGCAGCAAATCTTTCTAAGTCTACGGTGAAACCATGCAAACACATATTTGAAGAGATGAAGTTTGAGGATGTGAATGTTTTTGGCTGGAAAAGTTTGAAAAGGCTGGAGAAATTTCAATCTTACCTTCATACAACGATTATAGTCGAATTGACGTCGGAAAGGATCACAAATGACTTTTGGAAGATTGAATAGGTGCATACACCTGAAATAATCAAAACAAGAAGGTGCTGATTACAGCTCATATCGAAAGTCTTCTTCGGTATGTGAATGAATTTTGGTACTCGATGTTATTGTTGTGTTGTAGTTGGCATACTGTTCTGTTTGTGCCCTGCATGTTTTGCAAAATAAACAACTTAATAAATAAGAACTTTCTATGACAACAAGAACCGCACTCATTATGATTAGCCGCTTTATCAAGTGAGCGAGCAGAAGTTGGTTCTCATTCGGAATCGTGAGACATTTGAATGTATCTGTGTACTTTGCCTATTCCTCCCNGTGTTGATCTACACCATTTTCGTATGCCCACATGCATTCGACCTCATTCAGAGAAATGGAGGCCATTGAAAACGTATTTACCTTACATAGTAACTGGCATGAGTCAGCGAGTGATCAGGTCACTGCTTTTAATCTCAGAGACTTGGTTCACTTAGGTATTATCCAACCAGGAATGTACATATGCCTAGCATGTTATAGCACAGCCACATAGCATCGACCCACTTCTGTTCCCTTCGGGCTACGGTAACAAGTTTATCAAAACCGGAGGAACTACAGACGAACTAGAGCGGGGCGGGATTTGACGGTAGAAACTGCGCTACTGCCCCAATCTCTGTATTACACACCCGAAGTTTTCGACAAGTACCAATCCTTTCGAAGTTTTTACACGCTATGATGTCAAGAAGAACGCTGTTCGATCCCTTGGTGCGCCACGCATTCGGCACCATTCATGTCGTAGTAGATACTGACTGTTCTCTGGCTTTTGTAGACCCATCCACCATACCAAGCACAGGCTCATGTTCCTCGCCTGATGGTCCTGCTCCTCCATTTGCCGCCTCTGAGCCCACTGTCCTCCAACACTTGCATCTTCTGCCTGCTGATTTCCTTTTTCTGATAGCGACAGGACTGATTTCTTCGTGATGCCCAATCCCCACCCGGTTAATCTGACAATCTTACTGACGTTGGACAGTGGTAAGGAAACTGGTCCTACGTTATTTGGACGTAATGGTTCTTGTTCCTAACGAGCTTTGTTGATTATTTTATTCTAATTTTTATCTAGAAACACACCTGTAATGAACTCTGACGGCTCCATCCATTAGGCTGACTAATTCGTCAGCTTTATTCCGACGCTCTTTTTCATTGCAATACAGCTCATACCGCTGACACCATATCGCGGTTTCGTATCCATATCTGTAGAGACAAGGGTGATTAGGCTGAAAAATCACTGAATATCCTTAAGAATGAAGCCTCTTGTGCCACTGATTGGAGAGGATGTACGATTGCTAAGAAATTGATTTAACCGCCTCCTAAGTTTCCGAAAGCGGAACTCCTATCATTCAGGAGCCCAAACGACGCTAGAAGAAGTTACAAACTCCCAACATGAGGCAGTGCACTCACGAGTTTGTGCCAGTGCAATTGCTTTGATGCATACCTCACCTTTGCCATGTACACTGGTACGGTTCACAGTAACAGCTGAGATCATGCGTACACGATTTGCATTTGCTCTTCTTCGCCCGGGTACAGTATTCATCATAACGATCGAATTCACGTACGCACCAATCATCAGCTGGATAATTCACCAAGTGACAGTGACGCTGGAATTGTTGGAAGGCTTAGATTTGCGGAACTTGGAGGAATGACTAAGTGATCTGGAAGAGCCTACTGTCTTCGACTCTTCCCATGAAGAAGTATGATCTTGGAACAGGCACCGTTTCCAGTACAGCCCCCTTCTATCTCCATCTCAAAATCAGGATGATTTTGAACTAATCATTTCTAAAGTTTTAACGGTGAAGGAGATGCGTGGATCAGATTTCTGCCTGCAGAATGTGCCAGTTATTAGAGTATACCAGCTCACTGCATTTACAGCAAATGTGCTCCATTTAAACGATACAGGGCCATCAAACACGTCCGTTCTTAGGAGTATATGGCGGCAGTGAGAGACCGTCTCCATTCCTGAGCCATTATTCCCCTCTATCTGGACCGCTTCTCTAGTCGGCAACGCACCATGTGACCTTCTCATAATCAGCAGCCATGAATCCCTACAGATAAGAAATCTTCGAACCAGTGATATCACATTCTGGGCTTCTTGTATGGATACGACTTCCCATGATCTGTTGGAACCTGAATTCCCGAAATCCGTCTTATATAATCTGACTGACCTTCTTTACCCTCCTCTACGGACCCGTACATTCAATAACAGTATAACCCTTCCGTTTAATGATCTCACTGTTTTATCAGAGGCTCTCACGCTTCCCACTCTGCGGCAGCTGAGAGACAGTTACTTCATAGAAAAAACACATCAAATTTTCGCAATGGAACTACATGTTGATGAGAAATTGTAATGAAACCCTGCCATTTAACATTCTGCTGCTGGAAAGAGAGGGTAGAACGAGGGTAGCGTAGACTTACCTTGAAAGCGAGACAAAAAGGGACCAGCTGCAGTGGTGGAGTATCGTCAGCACAAGCCAGTGCGTACTGATCCAACTGGCCGTAGCAAAGCCGATCACGCATAAGTTCATTCCTGAACAGTATAACGCAAACACTTTGCTCATTGAGTGTTTGTAGCATGGTCAAGTAAACTGACTTATCAGAGGGAGTTGATTCGACAACACAGAAAAACAGAACAGGACTAATGTGGTTCAGCATTACTATGTATTATTACAAGTGTACCTCGGATTGCAGAAGAAGTTCAAACTGGCTGGGAAATTGTTTGCAATTACCAGTATGTCCTTTTCGAAGTGCTCGTTGTTTTCCTCATCATCATCATCGTAAACTGGCGGTGTGAGGGGCCCTGAATTATCGCACATAACAAAATACAAGTCGCTTCTCACGAATCATGACACATTCTGAAGGCCGGCTTGGCGATAATCGTGAGTTAGGCGTCAACGAAGGAGCGTGCCCAGAATATGGCGGAGCCAAAGGCTGAACTCCTAGGTTCGATTGCAGCAGAACAGCGATGTGAAAGAGCGGATACAGACGAGCAGCAAGTTGGTTGTTAAGATGGAGGAGACCAACCTGTGCATAGACGCTTTCTACAAGTGGGCGATGGAGACTTCAAAGCCTCATGACCCGTTTTCGTTTTCGAGACTCAATGGTAAAAATGGTGATAAACAATGATGATGATTTACTTGCAAGAATTGTCATCAACTAAGTGACGCGAAATGCAAACGTCGTCTAAGAGTTCGGAGAAATGAGGTAGCAAAGGAATAGATCTAGACTGTTCATAGTAGGTAGAGAATGTGAAAGGATTAGGAGCTCAAGTAAAAAGAGTATTTTGCAAGTTTACGGAGAGATTTTCAGGCCAAAAACTAAAGATGGAAATCAGCAGAAAAGTATGTTGTATTGAATGGTGTAGAACGTGATAAGTAAGGTGGTCGCCGAAAGAGGCCGAGCTAAACAAAGATTCGATAGGAGGTACGAAGAGAACGTGGTAATGGTATTTACTGCTGTCTTATGTGGAGTGGTATCGGAATTCTATAGAAGTTTTTGGTAAATTTCGTTATCGGTCTAAAAGTAGCAGGTTTCGTAGAAGCTTTCGCATGATGAGACCAAGGAAGAAGGGTAAAAGCTAGGACAAGCAGGAGATTGGAGAAAAATAATGAAGAATGGAGCTTTGGAATTCACACCAGTATAGATATCGATCAAAATTATCGATTTTGCGGAATCTCCGAAGTAAAACTCTGTAGCAGTAAGTTATGACGCTGAGTAAGCTGTACGAGTTGGCAACACCGAATTAATTACGTAGGCTGTCGACCGTAACCATAAGTTTGTTGTTATTTCCAAATTGTAGTGTGATAGCCAAAATAGCTAAGATAAACCATCTGGAGTGAATCACTTTTTTTCGGGAGAAGTAGTTAGTTTCTCAGTAATTTAGATGCTTCAAATGCCTACACAGTAACATGGGGGCCTGCCAGCGTGTTCATTATTNCCCCCCCCCCCCCCCCCCCCCCAAAGATTTCGTCCAGGGCGGGATCAAATCCGGGATTTAACCAGTAAAACAAACAGTGGAGTAAAATGCTTCTGCCATTTGCCCATCAATACGAAATAATGCTTACTCACCTAGCTCTGAGGGCGTAATTTGTTGAGCGATTATCGTCAACGGTAAAAGCAATAAAATAGTGGCGATTACGAAGTTATTCATATGAATGCATTGCCCCTTGGCGGCAAGCGAACGAGAAAGCCAAAACGAGTTCGGCTAGCGGGATTTCGACGGAGAAACGACGCTGAACTTCCCACGTACCTTAGCCAACGTATTCCTAGGCCAGGTTGGTATGAGCTATTCCGAGCGCATAGGAAGGGCCGAATGTCAGGATGAGAAATCTAGAAGGATAAGTTAAGGGGATATATTGTAAAGGATTACCCAGGAATTATTTAGGATCGTGGTCACGGGCGCTACCGATTCTTGAGCCCTTAGTGTGCCCTATCTGAATTCGTTCTCTCGCAAGAATGTTTTAGGACCAACTTGGGTTGAGCTTGAGTTGCATTCAATAATCATCACCCAAAATTTAGATTTCGAGAGGAAATCAAGTGCACTGCACATTCTGTGGTGTTCGATCAACACCGACCGTACCACCCCTACTTCCTTATTTTTAAATGAGCCACGGCAGTAGTGGCCTTCGAAATTTACAAGTAGGACGAATTGTCCGCTCCCGATGATGCCCTATGGGGAGATGAGGAACAGTGTGGCAACTTCGAGAGTCACCAATTCGTCCCACTTGTGGATTTCGGAGACCGCTTTGACCGTAGCTGTGTCTTCAAGAAATAAAGAACGAGAAGTAGACTTCGTGTTGATTTGCTTAGCTTCGATTTCCACAGAATGTACCGTCCACTCGGCTCATCCAAGTTCAGATTTGGTTATAGATTATTGATTGCCACTTGTACTCAACCCAATTTCTGCCTGGAACACGCTTGCAAGCCACTGTTTTTGATGTAGAGCTCCATTTATTGCGCGACTTCCACCGCGCTCAAGATTTTCATTGTACAACTGCCTAACTGGTAAACTTTTAGAGTGCATAGAACTGTCATACAGAGCTGAGGAACTAGTTTGGAGTGCAGATATGTGGTCGAACGTCATTTGCATATAATGCTGGAATAGTTCAACGGAACTCTCAATACCAACCCAACGCCACCACCACCACCACAACGCTCTCCCAGGCCAAGGTTGTACTGTTTGTTTTATTTGTGTATATGTAAATGTATATATACGCTGATTGCAGTTAATCGCAACCCAATTTATTTACCATTGCGAAAATTATTATCAAATATTTGTAATTTCGTCTGATTTCGAGAATATCTGTTGCTTGGCATGAAGTAACCCAAAATTACGCCAGTTTGGGCTCTACACTGCTAACTTACAATGAAAAATTCGTTCATGACGTGAAGGATTCACGACATACACGAAGGCTTGGGATTCCTATCCGGGTAAATCAGACTCACAACTTGTACGAGTTTGATGGATAGGCCGTCGAGGTGGTAAACTCCCCCACTAATACACTGGTACACAGAGATCTCAGAGGTGCACAATGAAATTCCAATAAGTTCTCGAAGGTAAGCTTATTGCCCCTCGAAAAAGACCTTTTGCCATCGAATGACTCTTTTTGTTGCTCTAAAACGCGACCTTTAGTCTCATGATATAAATCTTTCGATTAGCGTTAAACACATGTTGATGAATTACAGACGGGAGGTGGAGATCGTTGTTCTAGCAGGGCTCAGCAACTGACACTTTAAGATAGTTTCCTATCAGAATAGTACTTTTCAGTACCTTTCTCTACATTCCCTGCCTCTCCCCCAGCCCCTATGTGTTTGGCAAAATACAGAAAAGTTGACGGACCAAAAAGGATAGGAATTTATGGCATTCAGGGCAGGCGGGTAGGGAAGGGGAAGTCTTACCGATTAGCGATTTTCCTCGGCACCATGCTTGACCCTGCCGCTTCGGTGAGCTTCGTTGAGTGAAAAAAGTTGTTTGCTAACGGNGTACTTTTCAGTACCTTTCTCTACATTCCCTGCCTCTCCCCCAGCCCCTATGTGTTTGGCAAAATACAGAAAAGTTGACGGACCAAAAAGGATAGAAGGTTGTGGTATTCAGAGCAAGCGGGTAGGGAAAGGGAAATCGCACCGATGAGCGATTTTCCTCGGCACTATGCTTGACCCTGCCGCATCGGTGAGCTTCGTTGAGTGAAAAAAGTTGTTTGCTAACGGTCTCCTCCTCTCTCTCTCTAACAACATTCAGCTCCAGCTCATACAGAGGTGCGCGCGTGTATGTTTTTCGTTCATCTCACCTCCTATTATCTTGCCACTATTGTAGATTTATTTTTAGATTTTTTATAGCTTTTTCAGAAAAAAAATACAAAAATAAATAAAATAATCTCGTCAGTCAGCCTTGGAACCCATAGCTTTCACTTTTCATCATGTAAACAATCAAGATTACGAATACATTTAATGTTGCAGTAAACCTGTCTTATTTATTTACTTATTTGTTTATGGTATATAAACATCTATTTTATAGTTTCACCAGTCTATACTGCATTCATATACCATTATATTTTTATTGGCAAAATTTCGACTAATTACTGTTGATAAATCTTTTTTCGAAGCTGGGGCGGAGCAGTGCTTTGAGGCGCCATTAGAACGCCTGTCATAAGGGATCGAGTCCTGGATCAGTTGCACAGGCCAAAGAAGTCCTGCATTCTTCCTGTGTGTACCCAATTCGTTTGAGAAGACGGAAGCCTGGGCTGATGCATGGGATTCCACCTCGACTGTAGACCGAATATCAATTCAATAAATAAGGATAAAGCATTCAAATACAGTAAAGAAGTAATTGAACTGATAACCCAAACAGAAGTAGAATCAGCGCGGGGCCTACAGAATGCGTTTCTTCAGGGCAAAAACAATCATTCTTTATTCATAAGTGCTTTTATCTATATCAAATGAAATTCAGCTCAAGCATGGCCTTTATCGCCTACAATTATGACTGTTATAAGTGGGATGTTGATTTCAATGGAGTCTAAGCCATGTAGACGTAAAAAGCTTATATCCCTTAAACGCTCCTCTTGTTCTTCCCATTGGGAAATGCTATTTTTCCACCAGAAAAAACAATTTATGAAACTTATTACTCTTCACGAAAGAATAGGTGAAGTAAGAGTCGAACTACTTCGAATGATACACTTTATGTCGAGATTTTTTTTTCAAAATTTTCCCAAAGATCACCGAAAAGAGGCTTAACTTTTCGGGATGTATGCCTCATACAATCCTCTACTTTGTTTTACAAATTTTCAGCCTTGAACACAAAAATCGATCGATATACATAAATCACACATGATTGAGGCCAACCTCTTATCATAGCCGTTGATCTTGAAACATTCTGTTCAGCTGCCGCGTGCGTTGTTCTGAAGGGTTCCATCGGCAGTTCTGTTTGCATTCTTCTCGAAATTTCCGCCGCATTCACAAATTTTTGCTCTTTACCGTATTGCAAACGATAGCAGATGATAATTCTAATTTTTTACGGAATTTTACCCAATTTTATTAACATCATCTCATCTCATTCTCTGGCTCCACATAGGCAGTTACAAGTACGAGGGACATGCATGTGAGAAATGTCACTACCGAGCTGTGGGGAAGGTTTAACTTGTGACCGGTACGATAAAGCTCCAAAAACACTCCGAGTGAACAGTCTTTTTGACCGATTGAAACTCATCTCTTCAAGAGTAACTTGTTACAAGTGGTACCAAAGAACGAAGTCTGAGAGCATGAAAGTAGACGGTAGATAAATTTAGGTGCAGGTAGAAAAATATAGTGGGCGTAATGAAGA